CCAATATGACCTCATAGACATGCGACTTAGGAGGGCCATAAATAAAGTCTATGCTATTCAGAGACCAAACCACATCTGGAATTAGAAGTGGTTGTAGCAATCCAGGATATGCAGCAAGATCTGATTTGTTTCTTTGACATACATCACAATTTTGCATAAAGATCTTCACATCTTTTCTGATTTTCTTTCAGTAAAACAATGCCAATCGACTCTTTAATGTGGCCTCAACCCCCGAATGGCCTCCTTGGGGTATAGAATGCCATAATTTCATGATGTTTGATCAACTGCAGCTTTACCTCTCTGTTAAGTAATGTGTTATCTACTTCAGCAGAAGAGGACTCTCTTGGTAAATAAGGGAGGTGCAATGGGGGTGGTCTACCATAAAGGGCTTCGTAAGGAGTGGTTTGGATGTCAGAGCGATGAGAGGTGTTATACTAGTATTCAGCCATACGTATACAAGAGTACCACCCAATAGCATCATCAAAGCAAAAACATCTTAAGTAGGTCTCTAAACATCTATTTAGTACCTTAGTTTGGCCATCAGATTGTGGATGATAAGTTGAAGAAGTATTGAGTTGTACCCCCTGTAAAGAGAATAACTCTTGCCAAAATGAGCTTAAGAACACTTAATCCTGATCACTTGTAATGTTATCAGGTAATCCATGTAATCTAACAATGACATCCATGAATACCTTGGCTACACTTTGGGCAAAATAAGGATGCTTTAAAGGTATAAAGTGCCCATACTTGCTTAATTTATCTACCACTACCAATATGACCTCATAGACATGTGACTTAGGAGAGCCATAAATAAGGTCTATGCTATTCAGAGACCAAACCACATCTGGAATTAGAAGTGGTTGTAGTAATCCAAGATATGCAGCAAGATCTGATTTGTTTCTTTGACATACATCACAATTCTGCACAAAGATCTTCACATCTTTTCTGATTTCCTTTCAGTAAAACAATGCCAACCGACTCTTTAATGTGGCCTCAACCCCTGAATGTCCTCCTTGGGGTGTAGAATGCCGTAATTTCATGATGGGTTTCCTTAGCTGCAGAACCTTACCAACTACCAATGTCCCCTTCCTTCTTAGCTGGTTGTTACTCCAAGTAAACTATGAGTGAGAGGTTGGATTAGCTTGCAATTGTTCAACCGGTGTCTTCAACTCATTAGATGTTTCCCAACTTTTAACTATATCTTGAAGTAGGTCACAGTTAGTGGTTGAAATGACCAATGACATAAGCTCATCCCCATGAATCCTTAATAGTGCATCAACCACTTTATTTTTCACTCATTTCTTGTATCCAATGGTGTAGGCAAATGGCACCAGCTTAGTTAGCCATATCAATTGTGAATTAGTGTGAAGTTTCTGTTCTATTAAAAACTTCAAAGTCCTTTGATCAGTTCTAATGATGAACTTCTGGCCAAGACGATATTGAGACCATTTGGTAATTGCATGCACTATAGCTAGTAATTCCCTGTCATGCACTGAAAGAGCAGCATGCCTAGGAGATAATGTCCTGTTAATGAATGCAACATGACGTCCTTGATGCTTGAGCACAAGCCCTATGCTATAACTACTAGCATCAGTTTCCAAAACAAAAGTCTTGCTCATATCAGGGAGAGCTAAGACTGGTGCTTTAGACAATGCCTCCTTCAGTTGTTCAAATGCACGGGAAGCTCCTGGAAACCATTTGAAGTTATCTTTATTCAAAAGTTCAGTCAAAGGTTTGATAATAATGCCCAAACCTTGTATGAATCTCCTATAATAGTCGACCAACCCCATAAATCCTCTTAATTGCTTAAGAGTAGTAGATGTAGGCCATTTCTGCACAACTGCTATTTTTGAGGGTCTGTGGACACCCCATATTCAGTGATAAAGTGGCATAGATATTCTATATTTTGCACACTAAAGAAACATTTACTCTCTTTGATATAGAGCTGGTGTTTCTTCATCTCATAGAATACATACTTAGGTGTACTAAATAGTCCTCCATATTCCTATTGTACATTAAGATATCATCAAAAAAGACCAACACATATTTCCTAAGGAAATCATGGAAGACTGAATTCATTAAGCCCTGAAATGTTGCTGGTGCATTTGACAATCCAAAAAGCATCACCAAGTATTCAAAATGACTTGAATGGGTTCTAAATGCAGTCTTGGGAACATCTTCTTCTGCCATTCTCAATTGATTATATCTTGATCTAAGATCAATTTTTGAGAAGATCTTAGAACCTCCCAATTCATCTAACAAATCTTCTACAATAGGTATTGGGAATTTGTTTTTTACAATGTACTTGTTTAAGTCCCTATAATCAACACACAACCTCCATGTACCATCTTTCTTCCCCACTAAAACCACAGGAGAAGCAAAAGGGTTGCTATTTGGTTGAACTATTCCTTGATCTAACATTTGTTGCACCAATGTCTCAATGATATCCTTTTTAATAGAAGGATATCTATATGGCATCTTATTAATAGGTTCAGTCCCAGACTGTAACACAATTTTATGGTAAAAAATTCCCCTAGAAGGTAGTAATTGTGTAGGCTTATCAAATACCTCCCTAAACTCTTCCACCAATTTTAACAACCTAGGATCTTTTTCATGTTCACATTTAGTTTCTAGTGAATACCACTGTAATTTGTTACACATAGCAGGTACTACTTGTATCATACAAAGTTGTGACTGATTACCTGAGAATTTTGTCAACTTCCCAGCTCCAGAAGTTTGCACTTGCTTTCCTGCACCTCTCAGGACATGTTTCCTGCCCTTGCACATGAATTCCATGGTCAGTGTTCTAAAGTTCATTTTGATGTCTCCCAGAGTAAGCAACTACTGCACTCCCAATACTATTCCACAAGACCCCAAAGGCAGCAGTAAGAAGTTTGTTGAAAACTCAACACCTTAAAGTAGTCAGAGTATTCTACATATTTTGTTAACCTTTATCATGTTGCCATTTGGTGCAGCTACTAACTAAGGCATAGTCTCCTTAATAAGACATCCTAATTTCTGGACCAATTCAGGGTCTATGAAATTGTGGGAGCTACCTGTATCAACCAATATATGTAATGACTTCTTTGAATGATAGTTAGTTACTTTTAAGGTTCTGTATCCCAGGGATCCATTCAGAGCATGAATTGAAATCTCCATTTGCTCCATAGTTTGATTTAACTCCAATTATGATCCTTCTGATTCACCAGAATTTTCATCTTCCTTAGTGTTTTCCTCCACCTGCTCCTCTAATTCCTGAAGGTACAGTTGCTTGAAATTTTTACACCTGTGATCAGGTACATACTTCTCATTGCAGAAGTAACATAATCCTTGAGCACTTTTTCATTCATTTGTAGACTAACAGTTCTCATGTTAAATCCTTTGGGAGCCGTAAAATATCCAACATTTGGTGTTGGAAGTAGAGGTTTGTTTTGGGTCCTATGGTCGGTATATTTTTTTGTGGTTGTATCTTGGGTATGTGACAGAGAGAAAGATTGTCTAATGGTAGCAAGATAAGCTTCTTGCATTCTAGCAGCCTTGTAGACTTGAGACAGGGTGGTTCGATTTGTAATTTTTACTGCAATATTTAGCTCATGCTTCAATCCCCCAAGAAAATAACTAATTGCATTCTTCTGAGATCACCCTTGTCATATGTCTCTCGAAGGTGGCTTGGTACTCCCTCACACTCCCAGTTTATCTAACTTTCTTTATTTATTCTATGAGATCATCAAAATCAACCCCAAATCGTTCTACCAAAGACTTAACATACTCAGTCCATGTAGCTGATTGTAAGTATTGCATGTATCTCATAAATGGCATATGCATTGGATGGCTTCCCCATCCAATTGCATCGATGCCACCTCTATTTTCTCATATCCTACAACCATTTCCATGGAAAAAAAATTATTCGATCTTGAATATCCAAGACCTCAGATCATTCCATGTGAACCTCAAGAATTCCATCCTCGGCCATCTAGAATAATTTGAGTTACGATTGTATCTGGCAGGACTCTTGTCCCTATGTGATCTTTCTTCTGATTTCCTCGACATAGAAGGTCCATATTCAGGCCCTAATAGAGCTTTATCCTTACGATTCTCTCCAGAATTAGTCAGTTGCTCCTTCAGCTCGAGCACTGTCTGATCTAAATGCTTTAAGTTGGAAACTTCTCCAGGCTCCAATATCTTCCATATGTTTCTGCATCATCTCACGCAATTCCCCCATTTCATTGATGGAATTGTCATTTGATCGAACACCTTTCGTCATGATTTTGCCAATGAGCGATAAACTCTGATACCAATGTTAACTGAATTGCAGAAATTTCAAAGAACTCGAGGATTCAGCAGTTGATCAAGAGCTTAGCAGTGAAGCTCGAGAGAACAACTAGGTTTGAGAAGAGAAATTGTAAAAAGGAAGGAAAGAAGAAGAAAAGTAGAATAGAAAAGTTGAATCTTACTATTATGAAATGTAATCTCTGTAATACAATGATTTATATGAAGGGAATGAAATACTAACTGATTTTACAGCTTGTAATCTTTCACTGTTACTAACCAACTAATTGCTAACTAACTTTCTAACAACTAGTAACGATTTCTAACTAACTCTGAGCTGACATGGAATTTGGCTGACGTGGCATTTCTCATTTGCATTTCATGTATCAAAATCCTCAATCACCAATCTTTATATGAAAATATTTTCCCTAGTCACATTTCACTTTTCGGTAAGGTTTGAATTTCTTTTTCTAGTACAGGGTGAAAGGTTGAAACCTCCACGTTTCTAGCACTTCTTCTTTTATATATGACGCCTTTATTGTTTATAACGCTAATTATAAAGTGAGATGCGTCGTGTATTTTTGTTATGAATTAAAGTTAATGTGATAGGGAACACAACAAAAGATATAATTCACTTAGTGATTGCTTTGAATCTCAAACATCATATATATGGGGAGGGGCGTTTTGTTTTTGATGAAAACGATAGCACTAGGACCTCAGTTACAAACATGAAAAAGAAATAGTAATAAACATAAAATATTAAATCTGGAAAAGTTTTTCGCGCTCATGAAATTACTTAAATTGTTAACCATTATCGCACACCCAAAAGAGCTTTTCATTAGGCTTTATCCGAAGAAGAATTATAGTGTGTCATGAAATACTAGAATTACTTTCCTTGTGTGTCAATTTTCATTTGTCGGCGAATATCGTCTTTTTTTCTCGTTCTTTTGTTCAACTTTGAATTGGAGCCAATTGATGATTTCGAAGACTAAGAAGATGAAAGTAAGAGAGCCAATAACTGCGATGTAGGCAGGTCTCCACTTGTCTTCTTGCATTATTTTTATCCCTTTGAATATGTTGACACAAATCACTGCAAGTAATGCATACCCTAGAGAATGATGGTACATACTCCAGTATATGTGAAGTTCATCGTCTTTTTTGGGTTTTAATCTCAGTGCCAGCGCCTGTATATAAAAATTAACCAAATAATTAATTAGATATTTGACAAGTGGCGGTAATAAGATTTTCATCAAGAGAAATCAAAAAAATAAAAATATGCAAAAAAAAACCAAGAGAATTCATTATATAAGATATATACGTAAGATTAATGAAATTAAATATTATATGCACAATTTAATTTTTCGACGAAAACAGTTAAAATGAACCCCATCCACCCCTAATTCTGGCCATGCATTTTTGGTGTATATCATGGATTAAGTTATTGAAATCGCTAAACTTCAATTAGGAAGAACGTAGAATGAATATTTTTAATACTAATTTTATTTAAATCCTTTCTCTAAAGAGATTTTATCAGAAGTATTTAACTTATACATACCCCGTTCTTGTAAAAGAACTTTTATATTATCCCTATTCATAGAGTATATATAATTGGAGTAATGACTTTATTAGAGAGAAAAAAAGTTACAAAATTATCCTCTGCACTCCAACTTCAAATCCCACGTTAGTCATGTTTGATTAGACATCAATATGATCTTGCCACTTTATACGAGTGAATCATTTCAAAGGCATGGAGAAATAGTAACTTTAAATGGAGGGATCGGGGCAAATGCAATGAAGAGAAAAATATCAACCTACACATGGTGTTCACACAAAATATAATCCATTAGTTTATCATGGTTAAGTGATAGATTGATATGAGAGTACATACTATTAATAAACTATGGTTAGTACTAAAAGAGTTTGTGAAAGATTTATTGAAAACGGAAGCATTTTATCCATCACTGGAAGAAAAATAACAAATATAATAATTAATATGGTTGACCATAAGGAAGAGCATGCTCTTTAGCGCGATAATAGTTCTCTTAATCGAATACTTATTATGATAACGAATATTCCATTTAAAAACTAAAAAATAACTCTCCGTTTACTTCTTTTTTATTGTATTGATAGATTTTGATGTAAACATTGATCGTAGATAAAAATTTTTTCCAATAAGTTAGGTGGAGAGAGAGTGTGTTTTACTTGTAGGGTGGCAAATGTGAAGATGGAGATGCCAAAAGCTCCATGTTTGGGAAAAGAGTAATATTTGGAAGAAATTCCAAGCCAGAGTCCAAGTCCCCAACCAGTTGCACCAATAATATATCCAAATGCTTGACATGTCTTATGAGCATGTTTCCATTCATCATGTTTATTCCATTGTATTGGTCCCTTTTTGAAGTATCTCGCTATTATCACACCAATAGGAAGGATTACACCCCAACCAATAATGTTAAGTATTCCATGAGCCTGCATATACAAAAATAATATAATTAAGCAAAAGAAATTCATCTAAATAATTGGCAGATGTATATATAATTTGTATATTATCGTGTATAGTTTATATATACCGATTAGATTAAGTAAACATTGAATTCAACCAGCTATATGTGTAAAATCCCCAAAAAATTACTGTTTTAAATAGTCGAGCGCGCTTCAATATCTAATAATAGATACTACTTGATATGTTTGGTATATGCAAGAGTGACCTATTACAAAATTTTGATTTTAGATACCTGTGTGTTAATGCTTCAGAAATAAATGGAAATTGTGATTTGTTTACAAGAAAAATACACAGGTAAAATGGTTTAAGCAAGATTAAATAATACAGTAATTAATTAAAATTTTACGCCTTAATTCCAAATTAAGGTTAGTTATAAGTATTAAATAAGAGTACGTAATTGTGAGAGAAAAAAAAAAAAATCATATTATGGCGAAATCAAATCTTATAATTAAAGGACTTAATTTTTATCATCTTTTGATAAAAGGGCTTGAAAGCCGTCTTAGAAACGTAACATCAATCTGTTATACCACTTAACAAAATGTAATCGAGTAGTATGGGGTCTCTGGTAAATTAAAGTACTTTCTAAAACTTTGAATTTCTACATTTTAGCTTCTAATTAAATAAAATTTTGGGAAAAAGAAGAAGCTAGGAAAAAAAGAGAACTTTAAAGCACTCGTTAGGAGACGTTTTGTTACAGGAATTATGGGGTTATCTCACTATAAATTTCAGTATTTGGTTGTGAGTATTAGCTAAATGCATGATAAAATTTATACCAAAATCATGGGAAGGAGCTGAACTACGTGGGCGAAAGGGGATTCAGCCCCGAAAATTACACTGTTTATGTAAGGCCAATTTTTTTCTCATATATATATATATATTAGATGTTGAATCCCATTAACTTCTTTGCGTGCCAGCTTTTTAAATTTTTTAAATCCCTTTGGTGAAAATCATGCTTTCTCCACTGATTATGGGATTATTTATCCCACATAGAAGGTGGAATTATAATCTGAGTTATAATTCTAGTTATAATCAAGGTGAGATAAGATATAGGATAAGATTAATACCTTGTTTAGTTTGAGGTATAAATTTATCCTGCGATAAATTTATACCGCCAACCAAACAAGGTATAAATTTAATCCCAAACTTAATCCAGGATATCCCATCTTATCTCACTTTATCCCATCAAATGTGGGATTATTTTATCCTATCTCTCATGTGTTATAAATTAGTACTAGGATTATAATCCCAGAATAATTTAGTCCGCGTACCAAACGAACCGTAAGAGTATAATCGTGGGATAACCTTGTTTTGGAGTTTGGACCAAACGACCCCTTACCGTTCATTAGTGTGCTCCTTATGTCTAATAGTTTCAAGGCTGCATGCATGCATGCTACGAAGAAAGACAATTACTACGTACAATCGTTCATGATAAGTGAGATTAGTAATATAGAAAATAAGACAGATAACCTGCTAAAGCATTTTAAGATAATGCAGATTTAAACAGTCAGTACCAAGAGAAAAAAGAGAGTAGAGTAATTAAGAAGAATGATCCAAAGTTAATTAGGCTTACAGTTCTTGCATGATGACGTTTAGCAGCTCTAAAACGTAAAGATTTGCCAGTCTCCAAATCAATGGTCTCTGTGCCATCATAGTTATGGAGAGTTTTATCATGAATCTTGGGTTCCATTCCTGCTGCAACTTTTCCAACTTGCCAAACATGATTAATTCTTGAAATACTAACTGACTGAGGAAGATGTATAGTTGCTTCTATTATGTGATATTGAAAACTCAGAGAACTAAACCTCAATTTGCTTACATTCAAATCAATAGGAGAAGGTAACAATTTGCACTCTATTTTGATATATTCTGTGACATTGTACTTGTCACCAAGAAATGAACCATTTATCTGCTTGATACCAATAAGAGCTTGAGTCCCCACCATTCTTGGTTCTGGTCCAAAGTTCAAACCCCAGGCTAACCATCCTGTTTCACTTTGTAATTTAGCTCCTACCATTACCTGGCGAATTCAGAATTTATAGTTAGTCAGGAGTGGCAGAATCAGGAATTTGACAAGGGAATTCAGAAAAGAAAAAAAAAAAGGTCACATTTGAGATTTGAACCGCAGCCAAACACGACTTTTGAATCATTTTTACTACTAGGGCAGCCCGGTGTACTAAGCTCCCGCTATGCGCGGGGTCCGGGGAAGGGCAGGACCACAATAGTCTATTGTACGTTGTACGCAACCTTACCCTCTATTTCTGCAAGAGGCTGTTTCCACGGCTCGAACCCGTGATCTCCTGGTCACATGGCATCAACTTTACCAGTTATGCCAAAAGTACTCCCCTTGAACTACTATTCAACAAATTTATGTATATGTACTTGCAGTGTAACTAATTTACAGCAAAAGGAGTTCTATTACACAATGTTAGTGTGCGTATACAATGAATTTAATCTAAATATATAATCACAAACATAATTTATTTTTGTGTGCATGTGCTTATGATCGAGATGAAAGTAATGAGTTCAATTTAACCTGGAGGATATGAGTGTTGTTCTCCAAATTCCATGCAAACTCAACCCCATTGCTATGTTCGTACCTCTTGCATAACGTTAGATTTCTGCTGAGGGCTTCAGACCAGAAGTCATCACTGCAACGATGAGCATGAATTGTAATTGAAAATAAAGACAAAAGGAAGATTGAGTTTGAGACCAAAAATATTAAACAAGATGGAGACATCTTCACTTTTTTATTGGCCTTTTCTATTTCTCCTGTTTCTACCTCAAGGTAGGACAGTATATATAAGAGCCAACCCAAGTTAAAAGGGGAAAATTTTCCATGAGTTTTTGCATGGAGTCAGAAAAATTGGAGTTAAAAAGAAGTAATGTATTTGTTCTGTTTTCTTTATTCATTTTTCTCACTTTTTGGATAATATCTGATGTTCTTTTTGGGAACAAAGTGTGAGGCTTAAAGCAGTGTTTTAGTTACTCTTCCTAGGTACTTACTTTACTCCTCTTTTTGTTGCTTTTATTGTTTAAAATAAAATGCTTTTACCAAAGTGAGACGCTTCACACTTTATTGCATACTCCAACATTAATGTGTTTCACGTATTCACTATTCAGTATATATAATGGAATTGCAAAGACTTCCACTTGTCTTTGAACAAGTTATTTTCATGATTTTACTTTGGGTTGTTGAAAGAAGAATTAAGAAGCTGTTTCAGCTAAGGTCGTATAAGTAAGAATGTAAATTATATCAAAGTAAAGAATCGTTTCTTTCTCAACCAATAAAAAAAGGACCTTCGTCACTAGAAAAGAGGTGGCAAATCGTGAAAAAAGCTCATACTAAACACAAATACAGTGGATAATATTCCATTTAAAGGATGTCCTAAAACACCTTCCATGTAAACCACTAGGTAGCCACATTTGACTCGCCCCAAAAATGCTTTCTGGGAGGGAAGGGACTGAGTTCAAAGGTTTGTAATGTAAAGAACATTTGAAACAAATCAATTCTCAATAATGTTACCAATTTCACAATTTTGAGAGCAGGACTTTTCCTTGGCCAAACAACTTCACTTTTAACAGAAGACAAAAACACCCTTGTCCGATGTTATCATCCTTTTTGCAGCAGCAGTGCCAACAATCCTCTCAAGCTGAATTCAAGTGAAAGTAAATTTAAGAGACGGTACATTGACAAAAGCATTCATACAAGATACGAATGAACTCATAATTATATACGAGGAATTTGAAGTCATACCCGAAGCTGGTCAAAACGAGAAAATAGAACAGTGGAAGCAGACCCCTGTAGCATGTTTACAACCTGCACGAGAAATGAAATAGATCACTATGTGAACTACCATATAATCCTAATTGGAGAGTTGAAGTAGAGATGATCACCTCTGGGTAAAATTCTTTCCGCTCTGGAAGTGAATATATGATCAAGTTCTGGATGCCACGTATCTAATTTCCAGGAAAATAATTATTATTATTATGCAGACATTGAATAAAAGAAGACTGATAATATCTTTTAGAGGAATCTAAGGATATACAACCGATAATTGTGAAAGAAAACAAGATCAATACCAACATTAACTGCCAAATGGCTGTGTAATTGAGCAGGAAAAAGAGTGGAGAAAGTAAGGGAGCATGAATAGCACTCAAGATAGAGAACCTTGTATCGATGATAGAAGTGAGCTCTTTCAGTGTAAAGCATAATCTTTTTCGTTTCGTTGAAAAACCACACTCGTGCACGAGATATATCACTCTGCTCAGTGTACCTAGAAGCAAAGACAAACAACTGAACCTTAAAACCAGAACAGCCTACTCATATAATAACAAGTAGACCACTTGGATCACAAAATCCGATTTTATACACAGAAATGCAAAGCAATTTGAACACAAGATGTTACTCACTCTCCCAATAAACAAAAGGATGCCTCTTGTGATTTCAAAAAATTCCTTACTCGGATAAACTCAAAGTAAGAGCTAATAAATAGCATTATACCACCCTGCAGAACAGAAAAAATAATTAAGGAAAGACAATTTCTCATACAGCTGAATGCTTAAGAAAAATGAATTTGTTTCTCGAGCTCAGATGATGATACCTGAATGGAATCCTTTATCTTGGGGAACACCTGAAACAACAGACTTCACCAGTGTGAGATTTGACCATACACCAATAGAACATCACTATTGTAAGACCAACTGATTTGATGATGATATTAACTTTACAAAATCAGGTTACACGTGTAGAAGGGTGTGTGGTTATATAGTTATGCCATATGAGTTTACAAAGATCTCGGACTACTCCATTTATTGCCTTATTTGACTAGATGCTCAAATTCTTTCACATGCACAGAATAATGTACAATTCCATAACTAGTGAGTAAATGACAATTACCAAAGAAAGAAGACTGTCTCTATTTACATCGAAAAAATAGTACAAATGCAGATCATAAACAGCCCAGGAGACAAAAGAAGAAATGGGAGGTACCGCGATTGTATTGAATAAAATTTTAGTCTATATACACCAACATATTTTAGATTATCAAGTTGAAATTGAAACAAACGTTTTATACAGACAAGAAAAATGATTAGAGTATCAAGTGGCAAAATAATCATTTACACTGATACATACCCATCTAGACGGCAGCGAATTTAAATTGCTATTGACTTATCTCTAGCGTCATCACTAAAAAGGGAAAAAAGTTGAACTTATGATATAAAATATTAATGACAATATAGGATCTAAGAAAATTAGAGGCAAAAGGATGAATCATTTGGTGGCTCTATAACACAGCAGAAATAATGGAGTTAAACAGATCAGACAGTCGGACAGTAGTTATGTTAACTCAAGCAAAATACAATAATAAGATCAGGTGCTGTTTGACATGAATTACGGAGCTTATTTCTTATTATTCAGATTACTGATCATCCATTTAGCGATGACATACTCACTTCCGTTGGAGACTTCTTATCTGCACTCTCATTATTTTTTCCCTTTATTTTGTGTTGCGTTTGGTGGGGGGGGGGGATGGATTAAAGAATTTGACAAAATTTTGATTAATATAGGTGAAGAAAACAAACAGGCACTACAACAACAAAAAGTGGATATCAGTTTTAACAGTTTAGAAATACATTCCATCTTGTCAAAGGCGGAGCAAGCTTTATGTCTGAACTTGTGGAAATATATCACCACAATATTTTGACTCAGGTCATCATGACGAGAAATGACTGACAATGCAGAAGGATAACAGACCTTTTTTGTGAAATAGTCAAACCGAGCATCATCAGCATCTTCTGCAGTCTTCACATCAAAACGCTCATAAATCTGCAAGTTTGAGAAATAGCAAAAACCCATAAGCAGAGAAAGGAATCTATAGTACTTCCACAGGAACATGATTAATCAAATTCATGTCAGCAATTATAAAATAAAACAGAAGCCAGACAAGATTCAAACTTAATAATTTTAGATGAGGTAGTCACATTATCAACATAATCAAAAAGTGACATAACTACAGACACAAAACTTGATGTATTCCTTTTGATAAACTGAAATTCTTACACTGGAATTTGGTCGTATTCATGCTAAAATATTAAACATAACTATAAGACCATACTTTTATTACTCACCTGCCTTATTTGAAGTACTACCTTTGGTAAAATACCTTTATACTCGCTTGCCAATTTGACCTGAAAATACAGCACTTAGATAAGCAATATCTCTCTTTTCTAAGCATCCTCAGAATGTAAGCATGCTGGAATTCCATATTGATAATTTTGGACAGTACAAAGGATATTTCTAGCCACTTTCTCGTATTTTATGTTATATTTTCGAAGAGCAAATGTATGCGACCCTTCAAAACTCAAAATAAAGTAAGAAGAACTACATATTAAACTCACATTACAATTTTTATCTCCCACTAATTAGAAAATATTGTATAATGGAAATTTATTCATCATTTTCCATAAGTTTAGCCACGTATATCATCCTCATAGAGCAATGCTACTGGAAGGAGGAATGGAGAAGTCAAGTGGAGGATGTTTTCAATCACAGGAAAAAAACTAACTAAAATTACAGCTTCAAAGTGCCGCCAGGGCTTTGGTCTAGTGATAAGAGCGCAGCCAGTGATGTGTGGTTTAGACCCACTTCCTGGTTCGGACCCTGCTGCAGACAAGTCCGGTATTTAAGAGTAAAGGGTAGAGGGTTAGGTAGGTCCATTATCTACCAAGTTTTGAACCGTGCATCACGGGTCCTCGGGGATTTCTTGGTTATAAGAAAAATATTACAACTTTCAAAGTATAGCTGTAAATCAGCAGTTAATGGGCGAATAATTTAGTTCAGCCATGATGACAAGGCTATCAACGTCTTAACAATTTGGGTGAACAAAATAATTCTATCAGACTGGTCCAGTAATTTGCTTTAACAAGTGGACCAATAATTCCTGTCCCCTTTTTCTTTTGTAGATCAAGAATAATTTGTACCCTTCTAAAAAGCATATACATCTTTTTCCCGATAGATGCTCAAACAATGCCCAAAATACTTATTCTTCCCCCAACTCACCAACTTATGATACACCAAACACCAGAGGTAATAACCGAGGGAAAGGGGATGACAAAAAGAACTGTCAAAAGGTGGGTTATTACTATCCCAATGTTTCAAATCATTGTCACCAGAGAAAAGAGGGCTGTTATTTCTATGCAATGCCAAATGGACAGACCTTTCCTTCGTGGTTGAGGCAATGATGGTTAAATAACCCATTGATATCTGCGTAGGACAGAAAATAACTTTAGCTCTTAGGCCCTAATTAAAAACAATTATCAAGAATGATACCAGAATTTAAAGATTGTATCATTAGCATCTATCTTCACTGCCTAAAACACCACACAAAAGTTGTGAACTACCTGGATTTATATGAGAAGATAAGATTATAGATTGGCGGTAGAATGGCGCTTGACCGTCTAAATACCTAGAATTGACATTCACAAAAAGCAAATTATTAGCAAAAAGCATCACTCTGCAACATGTTCTAATGGATAACAGAAGTTGGCAATAAGGCAAAAAAAAGAGGAGCAGCTTACGAGCATACCACTGCCTAATGCGCATAATATCTGTTCCATGCTGCTCGGAAGGTATCCGATTTAATTGTTCAACAATTGTATTCACGTGTGACCAATTCTGCGAGTATAAAAATATGAACAAAAGATAATAAAATGTAGACATACACTAAATCATTCCAAGGGGCATAGATGAACTTTCAAACTACCTGCATCAGTATGACATCTGCATGGTCAACAATCAGAATCTGCTCAAATGGTAATTATACCGTTAGTTGATAAAAAGGTAATGAGCATTACTAAAAAAGATTAGAGCACAAACCATAAACTTCCAAACTAATATCACAATACAAACAAAGATTACCTCTATAGAAGAAAGATAATCAACATTTTTTTCCTTAAACATTTCTGCCTCCCCGATTTTCTGAAGGAATAAATCGATAAGAAGTTAGTCACAGCTTAACTTATAACAATTTCCTACTATAGAGTAGAGCTGCAGAGTGTTAGCATAAGAGAACAAGCTTTGAGCAAATCTGTTGATATATTGAAACAGGGTATAGAAATGACAAGAACAGAGTTCTGAGGCTACAGAACAACGCATGATGTTTGCTTAGCCCTGTATAGCATACTACAGATATAAGCCCCCCCACCCCCCCAAAAAAAAACTACAGTCAAGAGGTGACAATTTTCAAGATCCCTTTATCATATAAACTTATTGCTTTGAATTTTAGATAACTTTCTTTTCATTTTCTGTATTCCGGAAAAGTATCCTATATACGTCAAACATAAGAGAGAATCAAAGATTTTATGAAAGATCTAAACACCATAAAATGACAAAGAGCAATGAGAATCAAACAAGTGTATGTATTAGCAAACTTACAGTGATTAGGCCAAGTGGGGAAGCAACAATCATGTCTGACGAGTAGAAGTCACCGTACAACTTTATGCTCCTCCTAAAATAAAAAAACATGCATATGTTTTGCATTAGGAAAAACAATGACCATAAAAATGCTCCATATGGATTTCTCCAAAATTTTGATATATTCAGTGGAGTTACTCATATCTATGTACACAGTTTCATTAACTTATGAGTGTTCTCTATTCTGTAAGAAAAGATTGTGTCTCGATTTATCCATCTTCACGTATTGCATATATTCCATATTGAACTATGTGCCACATCCATGAATTGGTAGGCAAAGCTTACTTAGATTAAAACCAAGTAAAAGCATATAGCCACAATACGGCCATGAACATACATGACATTTTTAAAATTATGGGTTTCATTAAATGACTTCGTCCTTTTTATAAATTGTGATTTTATTTAGCAAAATGTGTATCAAGGACTACTATGACATGCAGGGAGTTGAGATAGACCAACTCAACTTTTCCCATAGGAACCTGCTTGCATAATAACATAGTACTTATGCGAATTGTTCATGACTGAATAAAGTGAGCAAACTATGTTTCCATTGAGTAACGCTTACCAGCAATATATAGAGCATCTAAGTCGAAAAGCACTTGAAAAAAGAAGTGCAGCTTTCATGATGCAGTAAGTGTTTGGGCAATTTCACCAGAGTTGAGAAATATACCTGGTGAACTTAATTCCAAGCATGAAATGATCATTGTTATTTCCCCCAAATAATGCTTGAAAATCAGATGGTTTTAAGCTCTTTTTTGATTCAGTGCTTTCGACCACATCTTCATCCTCCTTGTCTTCGCTTACTCCAGCCCCGAATTCTCTATAGAAACGTTCACGCTCCTCTACATTAGACTGAGGGAATCAACACCACATTAATATAGTCTGAAGAAGCAATATCGCCGTCTAAAACAAGCCTACATGATGCCAAAATAAGCAACTTGATCTTGGTTAAGTGGCACCTAACTGAATAATGTCTTTATCTTAATTATGGGCTCCACTTTATGATTCTCTCTAAGTCTTAACTATTTCACATCTAACAAGGTCAATACGTTTTTCCAGAAATCTAAAGATTCACATCAAGCCCTAAAATGACAGGGCCATAGATCAAGTCTTCTAGAAGTAGCTACATTGTGCAAGATCAGACATGTAATTCCGTTTTACAGCAAACTGATTAATAGAAGTTTGCATATTGCTGCGAAAAATGAAATAGCACATACTTGATATATGTTATCTTACGATGGCAAGGTGCCTATGGCAAGTTGCTTGATCCCCAACACGAGTCAATATAATATCTTACTAGGCAAAGTTTTGTGCACTTTGCAGCAACTAACATAAATTTCTAGGTCAAGCAGCAACAGCATGAGCAACAACACTCTTGCTCAACTCCAACAAGGTCAAAGCATTTCATCTTATTAAAAATAAAAGCATTTAATGGAACCTGATGCAGAAATCTTGGAAGGCACTGCTGATATATTTTGCATGAGAATTCAGAAAAGTGGAAAAGCTCATGTACCTTGTATTTAGGAGGTGTCAAATCGATCAGCCTCTTGACTACCCGAAATGCAACACTTGCTAGAGGGAGAAGGATCAAAACCTGAACCAATCACAAGAAAATGATCTATATTCTTACAAGTTAACCAATCACAAGAGAATGATCACCACTATAAGTTTCACAGTGCTTCGTAAATGATAAGGGTACAAAAACGACCACAAGGAAATGCAAGATCATTGTACAAAAATTGGTACAGATTAAACAACAGATCTAACCAAAAAAGCACGTTCATCAAGAAAATTAAGCCAACCTGTCACCAAGAAATGTATTTGAAAATTGATCATGCTCATATTAAAATCCAGAATATAGAGCCGTAAGCGGAACTCAAAAGTACTGTTAATTCCTAAGACTCAGGTGATAGTCAACTGTACTTTTGCTATGTCTAAAGACAGAGTTGAGCAGGTAGTTAATGTTAGGGGGACAGGAGCGCAGCCCCGTGCGCAAAGCCTCTGCTATGCCAGGGTCCGGGAAAGAGCCGGACCACATTGGGTGCAGCCTTACCTTGCATTTGTGTAAGAGGTCTCTTGGTCATATGGCGGCAACTTTTACCATTGCGCCAAGGCTCCCCTTCTATGGGACAGAGAATAAGGAAAATCTTATGATAAAATGACTAAAGGTAGTGGATTCTGAACCTCCAGAGGGGAATAAGCTTATCCATAGGGATCTGATCCATTGGCGCAGCTAATTGGGAAAAACTTTTAACAACAACAACAACCCAGTATAATCCCACTAGTGGGATCTGGAAAGGGTAGTGTGTACGCAGACCTTACCCCTACCCTGGGGTAGTGAGGCTGTTTCCAATAGACCCTCGGCATCCTTCCCTCCAAGAACTACCCACCTTGCTCTTGGGGTGACTCGAACTCACAACCTCTTGATTGGAAGTGGAGGGTGATTGGAAGTGGAAAAACTTTTAAGAGATCATTAATCCGCCCAGCTGGAATACAAGTGAAATATATAAGCAGAAAAGAAGAAAATGAACTAGGATCATAGAATAAGTAGGACATATCAACAAGAGAGGTTGCTCTAGTGGCAAGGGCACTCCACTTCGAACCAAGATGTCGGAAGTTTGAATCACCGAGAGAAGAAGTGGGAATAGCCACTGTTAGTCCCTCGTGAGGGGTTTAAGGAGGCACGTTTACCAAGTCACGAAAAAAGAATTTAGAAGGGCATACCACATGTGCCTAACACATTAAAAGGCCCTATCGATCCTAGTCGAAAAAGAAATTTTATCAGGTATTTCTGATTCTTTGGAAATGGGAAATGTTGTGGTTCAACTTCTTAAAGGCTAACCCAACTATCAGGATTGATACGCATAAAAGGTGGGTCAGTGGTGGAATACGTTGAAGTATCTCTTTCAAAAAGACTAAGAGCAGGATCGGAAGGTTATAGTTGTACTTCAAGTAGTCTCCTCTGCAATAATCCAACTCCATCATAACTATGATGTATGATATAGCATTTAAGAGTAGAACTTCAGCAGACAATACAAAAGGTAATGTCAGGAAAGTGCAGGTACGAAGAGTAGGTTGGTATTTTCTCTTTTTAACCAAGTCACACAATTCCCCACAAATAGGAAATAACTACACTACCATATACAAATATAATTCTAAGAATAACCTCAATTTCACACATCAAAGCCCCGATTGTCTAAAATTTAGACAACGATGCACCTTCAACAAAACTTACCAAGCTACATCACATGGATTCCTTCGCGGATACGTATCCAGTACTGGTGTGGGGAAATATCTGGTGCGAGTATGTCAAGTTTTTTTTGCTAGTTCTAGTGTATTTTTAAGAATCAGCACAAAGTACTCACATCCTTGACCCTTATCACACCCAAAATACTCACAACCCTATAATAACCCCTTATCACACCCGTCCAACGGGTACGTCAAGGCAAATAAAGAATCGGCATAACATACATAACAGGTGTCTATTTCTCACGACTTCATTTTCAGAAGCATAACGACAAAAATAGGTACATACCTTAGGGCGAGTAAAGCCACGGTCAAGAAAAGCTTCATTATTAAGGATATCTGCTTTCACACTCTCCTGAAGCTTAGCAAGTTTCGCCTCGTTCTTCTTTACAAGATCCCTAGTTCTGAATATATGATTGAGCTGCATAACATGATTCCCTCAAAATAATCAAGACATGGTTGCAATTTTGGATATGAACTACATCACGCAAAATAGAACAAAGAGATTATGGTGAAAAGAAGTTTAGCAGATGCTCTTACAGAATGCATAACATAAGCATCCATGGTATTTGAATCTTCTTCTAGACGTTTGAGATAGAAGGGTTTCTTGTTGTGGTGCAAAATATCCCGGTAGCTGTTGCCTACATGAATGAAGGAAGTCATAGCAATTACAACACTTATAAATAGCAGAACGAAGAAACAGAAAGTAATACATGGACAGCAAGATAAAATTCACCAGGTTAACCACAAAAGCGGCGCCGCAAGAATAAGTCAAGTATGAATACATAGTCAAGCATTTTACCTTTTTTGCAATAAGTCAAGTTTAGAGTAGTGAAGCATTTTAGTCTTCTTATTTTTTCCTTGGGGGGTTAATTATAGTATTTGGACCAGCTTGCCTTCATCTCGACCAATCCACCAGGCCTACTACAATACACAAGCATAAGTGTCGCGTAGTTGGCAAACCTGCCCGCAAAAAGCTGCAGAAGATGGGCTCACACTGAGGTTTGTTATGAAGATTCCAATCTGGTGATCCTGTATCCTCCACCAAGCCACCCACACTCTCCCTCCTCCATCCTTTTTTATTTTTCATTTTTGTTTACTTTTTGCTGTGCCCAATTACATGTATACAATTATTGCACTTGGAACAATTCCAGTTGTGTAAAATTTACAAAATCAAATACATACATATAACAACTCCACAAGTATTTTCACCGCAAAATGACACAGTAGCTGATAATGCAGCCTAGGACATCTCTATACCGTTAACGATCTCTTCTTGTTCTAATTTCGCCACAAGATTAACTCAAATCCATTACTCTACTTTTATTGATAACCATGCTCTACTTTAACTTCACTAAATCACACCTAATAGGAAGCACTACTTCAGACAAAAATACATGGTGTTATTAAACCACAACTATCAATGTAGAACCACAAAACATCAGGAAACAAGTGATACAACCACTTTGATTGGCAAACTGAAAGAAATCGGGTGCTGGAGTCGCACTAATGATCTGCTCTGAGGGTTGCGGACTGCGATTTATACATCCTCCACAAGTCATTGCAAAATAACTAAGAAACAGGCACATAGTTCTATCCACCAATCATCAAACCACAGACAACATACATTTGATAAATCTAATACGAGTAAATGACCAAAACAAACTTGATGGGCTTTACTTACAGAGGGAGAAAAATAATCTCTGCTTTGATGAATCAAAATCGGACCCTCCAGACTTCTCATAGATACCTAACCAATGCTTGTATAGTGTCGGCTTCAAGCCATGAAATAAGAAGCCGTCTAGCTCCTGCAGAATAGCTATGCAACTTCTTGAATAGGAAGATCGTTGTGGAAAAGCAAAGCATAAAATTAAAACCGTTGAACGTATTGACTATTGATGTAGCATAGAGCAGTGCAGTTAGGTATTGTAAGGTTTGCCTCTACTCAGCAATGCAACAAAAGACATTCCTTTGTGAACCTAACACAGTCACCTACAAAATATGACCTAAACTCATCCATTAAGCATCAAAAACATAGTACACATATAACTCAATACAAATATAGGGAGTAATATTTTAGAAAAGAGAGTTCTTGATTGTCAATATCCTTAACAGGCTTAAGTTGTTTATCCCAAAAAGAAACAACAGAACGCACACACAAGTTTAGACTAATGGATATTAAAAGGAGAAATTCATAAAGGAACTGCAGAGTACCAAGACAAGCACTACAATAAGTATTAGGGTATTACCGCACCTTCAAGTTTGAAGCTTGACACAAATAATTGGAATTGACAAGGATCTAAAGAAAGGCAGATGCAAAATGAGAATTGATACCACAATCCTAAAAAACCCTAGAAAAAAATGGAAGCCCTACCAGATGGACAAAAATTATTAACCTCCGGCAACAGCACTGTCCATGAACTACTTTTTTGGGGGGAAAATGACATTGTATAGCCGCTCTTAAAATAATAGCCAAAAATATATATATATTTTGTATATATATACATTTTGTATGTTATATACAAAAATTATACAAATTCTATATACGTTTTCGGCTACCAAATGTAAATAGCTTTTGGCGCGGGCTAAAAGTGAAAAAAGCCCTTTTTTTGGGATGAACAAGAAATCCCTCTGGGGCCAACCCTTGGGACTAACCGCAGCCATGGAAACTCAGGGATAAGGGGCCCGCCCCTCTACCCTTCTCCAATTAAACACCACACTTAATTCGCATGGTACAGGGCTCGAACATGTGACCTAAGTATTCAACATTTGCCACTTAAACTATGCCCTAGGGACGCACTGCCCATGAACTATTTTCTGTTCCTTTTGAAAAATAGGCAAATAAATCCAAGAAGATTTTAAGCAGGACACCACTTCCAAATCATTTGGATAAAAAATACTCTATAGATTTATCGGCAAATTTTCCACTAAATTGGATGTTAGGTCCAGCGAAGATATGTGTTGCTCCAACAATTCTGCAATGAAGTAAGGAAAATCACAGACCACTATTTATTTATTTACCAAACTCATATTACTTGAGCATAGCCTAATAGATCTTTGTAACACCCTGGAAAATTTTGAAGTACTTAAGCGCTATTAAGAAAGTCGATGTGCACTAATTATATTATTTTGTGTTTACGAGGTCTATTAATGGAATTGATATCAATTAGATATGATAATAAGTGTACGAGTCATATTATAAGTGATGTGGGGTCTAGGGAGAGCCCTCAATGCAAGTCAAGTTGAGAATTTCATGATAGACTAAAGTTGCAAATGAGTA